GGGGGGTTTGGGGGGTTCGGAAGAACCCCCCCACAAGGCTCAAAGGTCCACTTTTTATGTAAAGGTCCACTTTTTGGTCCACTTTTTATGTAAAGGTCCAAGATTTTTCTCAAAAAGATAGGCTGGAATCATAGAAAAACTGCTCCCTTTGTCATTGAATCAAAATTTATCTCTGATTCTTGAAATCCTCTCAAAAACGCACGAAATGCCATTTTAGAAGGTTCATTTTTCACAATTTTCCGTGGGAACATGCCCCCGGACCCCCTTAGAAACCTCGCGCCTACGGCGCTCAAGGTCCCCTCAAGCAGTGGAAAGAACCGCCCCCCCCCCATTCAAAATCCTGGCTACGGGCATGATTGAACAGTCTGTTGACTGTGTACATTAGGCCACACTGCCTTAATTATATGGATGACATCACAGAAGACTAGTGCGCGCGGGTGAAATAAAAAAAAATCCCGACCAAAAATTCAAAAAATGATACTAAACCACATACAAATCTGGTATTGTGAATTTACATAGCGCCGTGTACGGTGTACGACAAGCCGGCACATGCTGCAGCTGGCTTTTTGCGGAATTTATGAATTGGCAGTGCACTCGTGTACTGAGTTCTTGAGTTCGGTAGCTTCGGTAGCCTATCTTCCAGAGTTACCGCCGGCTTCATATTTTCGCTGGCTGACATGGACTACGGAGGATGGCACCCAGCCTAGAGACGTGATCTATTTATTAAAAGGGTCGAAAATCAATGCGCGAGCGGATGTCATCCATAAAATAAGAAATCAGTGTGGCCTTGTATTTATGCACCCCTTTAATGCAGAGTCGTTGTGCTTTAAAGTTAAAACCCTCAGTATTGTGAATTGCCTGATTTTTCCGTATACACATCCATACAGACTTAAACCTGTGAACACATACACGGTTTTCAGACATATATCAATATATTGGTATTAGTCTAGTCACGCCAAACATAAAAAAGTTGGTATAAGCAATTACATTGTATTAGAATATAACGTGCAATAATATTTCGATCTCATAACTAACTGTATTTATATTCTTCTTAATCACATTTTTTTTAATTCATGACTAGTATTGCAAAACTGTCATTTCTCACGTGATCAGTGCATGCCAACCACGTGTTGCCATCGTGGCGGGTGGTATGTCCACCACGTGATCTGTGACATCCTGCCAGACAAATTATCGTTACCATTGACAGTAGGCACAAGACGCTGCCAACGCTCTGTCACTTTTTAAAGGGGCATCATGTAACATTTTTGCACCGATGATTGAAATATTGATTATATCGAGTTAATCTTTTTTTCTATGTACAGAGGAGACGCAGACAATTAATATAGACGCCCTTCTTCACAGTGCGTCACTCATTGCGGGGGTTGCTACAGCAAGCGGGAAGCAGCGTTCCTCTACCAGGCCTGGGGCGGATATACCTCCTGCCAGGTAGGTAGGTAGGTAGATTTTTGATTGTTCTTTCAAAAAAAAAAAGCAATAACTTTCGGCCGAATCATGCCATGCAAAACACTTTGAATTGTGACTCTATTAGCATATTGCACTTGAGTCCTTCTTGAAATGTCACGAGAACGGGGGGTGTCACAGCTCATTTAGTTACATCTAATTTGTCCCCAATATGTCTGCCCTGTATTAATTGTTTGTGTGCATTTCTTAGTCATCTTTATGTAGTATTATATATTGTATTATATCTATGTCAATTATACTATGCTCGATGGCGGCGCTTATATATAAGTGTAATTAATTTGAATGCGTCGCCATCTCAGTCTTGTATTTTGTGTGCTTCAAGGCCTCACCGACTTCATTTTATGAATGACATCTGTGCACGCATTGGTTTTGGCCTGTTCTCATGAAAAAGAGATCACGTCCTCAGAGGCTCTGGTCTAGGCCTGGGTAGTCAGTCCATGGTAGTTAGCGACAATGCAGAGCCGGTGGTAACTCGGGAGGATGGCCGAGCTCCAAAGCTGACCGAAGCTCCACGACGGCAAGAACTCAGTACATACGTACAGTGCCGATTCATAGATTCCGCAAAAAGCCAGCATGTGCCGGTTGGGAGTCATCCGTAAAATAAAGTCGGTGTGGCCTTAATGAATAAAAAAAAATGATAGTGGGTCTCAAGAAGGGTCAGAATGGCTATTTACGTACTCATGCTTTAGTGAGTTTGATCGTTGTCTGTGGTTATTTTGCATCAAAGTACAATGTACTTCTTTTCTTCTATTTTTTAAGGTGAAAGAAAGCGTTTTGGCTAAGAAAACCTGAGACGTCTGGTCCATAGAGCAAGAGGCAGATGTAACCAGGTGTCAACATCATTCAGCCTTTAACAGCGACGTTTAGAGAAAATCTTTATATTGGTCAGACATACTAACTGGTATTTTCATTGTAACATCTTGAGATATCTTTGGTTGGAGGTGTAGCAGTATCTCATAGCATTGGAGTTACAACAGAACCATTTTCAATACTGAATCCTTGTTCGACTTTGTCAACCAAATTACCATGACGCGCCGGCACATTTATAACGTCATGACCGTTGCTATGGTTCTGACCTTTGCTACCCTGATAGTCGCAAACAAAGAAGCATCGAACAAGGTCCTAAGGAAACTGCTATTTCAAGGATGTAACATTACAAATTATCAGTACGTGATGCTGTGTCAATGTAATATACCACCAAGGATAACTTGTAACAACGTCGGTTTTACAAGTGTCCCCGAAGGACTGCCACAAAACATGGCTGAACTACAGTTACCAAACAACGCCATAACTTCCTTTAACTGTACCGGTGTGAACCTGTTTAACCTGAAAATACTTAACCTAAGAAACAATAAAATCAGGTCCTTTCCGTGGAACTGCCTGAACTATATGCGGAGTATTACTGAATTAGATTTATCACATAACCAGCTGTCATGTGTCAAGCTTTTCTCTGTTAAGTTTTTAGTCCCTCGCCTAAAAATGGTGAACATTTCTTACAACAGGTTGATGACATTGTCAGGGTGTGATCTTGGGTGGGACATGAGTTTGCAGGTACAAAAACACTTGGGACACTTTGTTCAATATGATTTGTCAATAGAAGGTAACCCTCTTCACTGTGGTTGTAGCATATCGTGGGTCATCGAACTGGCGAAAATAGTGAATAAGTGCCGAAAAAAAATCTTCCTTTATTGTAAGCGATTCTTTTCTAACAAAAATCCCATCGAACTTCAGATGTGGAAAGATCTGGAAAATTTCCGGTGTGAAACACCTCCGGGTTTAGCAGGATTTGAACTGCTGAATTCAAACATTTCAGACTGTCCTCAAGTCAGATACAGTCCCTGTCCTATTGACCATACATGCCCCGGAGTAGAGACTGAAGACTCTACTTCTGCATTCCTTTCAACAACAACAGCTTACAGCTCAGAAATGTCCACAGAGACAAGTGAGGAACCAAAACAAACACAGATAGAACTAAATCAGCAGACAACCCAGAATGTGAGCTTTGAAACCTTGACAGAAATGTTTTCACCAACATCGGGAGAATTGTATAGTGTGCTGTCAGCGTCTCCACAGACACAAGTTCTGTCCTCTCCACACCCCAGTACCTTGGTGTCAGGCTGGATGCTGACTGGTATGGTTGTTGGAGGGATTGTTGCCCTGTCAGGTCTGATATTAGCTGTTTATTGCGCAGTGTCTAAGAAACAGGCTGACCAGGGGAACAACATGGCGGTTGGCTACGTTGTAAACAATCACCAGGTTGACATCTCTCAGCTGCAGAGCGCACAGGTTGACGACCAGACAGGTTTTAGCGGTGAATCTGATTATGCTTCTCCGTATGCAAAATCGATGTACGTTTTTCACGTTCCTCAATACGATACTGCGATACTATGAATGCGCAAGCCAATTATACTGCTGCCACACATCCACAACCTTCTCCTGACCTTGCCCCCGAACACCAGCCGACCTGTGTCGGATGAAGTTCTGGTGAATCCCACTTTTTATGGATATAAAATGAGGAATCAGAATTCTAACAAACAAAAGGCATCAAAAGGAGGGAAATCTATCTTGGTCGGAAATCGCAATGTCCGTATCAGTAGTCATTATGTGTTAAGATTTTCTCAAACACAATCAGCTGTAGAGGACAGACCGCTATTTCCAACCACATTGGAATATATTGTGAATATATTGTGAATATATAGTGAATATATAAGAACTGAGCTGGCAAAAATCACCTACCTGAGCGTTCAACCATTGCAAACAGGGCAGTCAAACAGGGTAGTCCAACTACAAAATTGTCCATTTAGTAAAAAAAATGGCATAGTTTGACAAGCAGAAATAAGTTCGAGATATACATGTAGAAACACTAACACTAAGATCATGACCCCTGTACACCACCAAAAAAACAACAAGATAAGATTACTAGACCTCGACCAGGCAGTTATAACAAGAGTAAAAGTTAGTCTTTTTTCAACAAAAAAGACATAGAAAGAACTCTCCGACTGGAAAATGCCAGCATTTGTCCATACATACCAAGAAAAAGGCTGTTTTTAGTTGGTTTGGGTGCACTTCAGCGCCTGCGAGAAGGACTGACCTTTGCGCTATAGGATGAGTAGCTTGTGCAACTACTAACATTGACAATAATGATATGAATCTTTATTGCATGTTCTTGCCCAGATGGGCTAAATGCACAAGAGGGTATGCAGTATGCAAAACATGAGTATAGCATACTGGAACGCTATAATCTAATGCTAATTGCTAGGAATTTATGCATTATAACAATACTATATACTACCTATCATCTACTGCTACTATCTTTCAATAATGTAAGCATACCATCCCAAGGACGATGGACGTTATAATTATTACTATTATATTATTATTATAATCACCATTATTTATATTACTTTTTGGATGTATTATTTATCTTACTTATGTAGAATGTACGATTCGATGTGTATTCTGTGTTCGCATATAGAACAAAGTCTCAAAGCATATCTCAACCCACAGACTGTTTGACGGTCATGTCTAAGTCAGCATTCTATCACAATTTACTTTGATAAAGCAATCAGCCAATGGATGCTTCCTTCAGTTCAAGTTCTTTACACAACCAAAATGGAAAAGACGACGACTGATCATGTTACATAACGTTGTTGTATTTAGGTTGCTGTGGCTGTTGATATAGCCATGCCATTTTGGTTTTCACCACTGTAATATGAACCATGTAGTATTTTTATATTATGCGTAACAAGATCAACTGTGTGACTACTGTAGATTGTGAAATTACAGCACTAATCATTTAAGGACAACAACTGAAATTTACTAGTTGGCATATTTGTTTCATGGTAGGACAATGTTATCATTACGGTAAAGTGTAAGTTTTAACAGCAGGATGTACATGTATGTAATGTTAAATGCAAATCGAGACTGTGTGTTGATTTAAAGTGTCTTCTACGAATGACATATGCGTTTTTAAACACTAGAAATCGCTATCAAGTTTGTAAAAAATATAGGAGGAAGGCAGCCAGAATAACACATCATTATAACCATGGAAACTGTAACCTAATTCTGTTTAAACCAAGACTTCTTCTTCTGTATAAGCAACAAAAAAACCCCCAGAAGAACACGCCTACAGCTATTAGCACCAATGCAGTGGTGTTAGTGAACCATCCCCAGAACTTGCATTTTTAGTGACGTCATCATCTGTAAGCGATTGGGAAACGTGTGAAATAAAACTATCTTAACAATAGACACTGTAAAGATGGTGATTTTTTAGTCGTAATTTAGTTTCATGGAGCATCTGCATGTGCATAGCTATCATTGTATAGAGAGTTTTGATAGAAACACCACATGTTTTGCTGTTGCCTTGCTTAGTACAGATGGGCCTCTTCTGCTCAAATCAATGCCATAAAAAGCTTCGGTGTCTGTCTTAGATGCAAAATGAAGACGTCAGCCATTAATATATTCAGATCTCACAACAGACAAAATTGCTCGAGGTTCCATGAAAAGGTTATCTTACGTCAACGGTTTTAAGCTTTCTGGTTGGTCAAAGATGGATCAATCAGGTGAAAGCACGAGTTTGTTCCCATATGTCAGGAAGAAAGATAAAATCTTTTTTTTCTATCTATGGCCCCACCATCTTAATTTTATGGATGACATCTTCTGAAAACCCCAAAATTAGTGCGCGCGGGCGAATAAAAAAAAATCCGGCCCAAAAAAGCTACTAAGCCACAGGCCACAGTAATACAGAGTAGGTTTTGTGAATTTGCGGCAGTACTTAGCGATGTATACGACAAGCCGGCACAAGCTGGCTTTTTGCGGAATGTTTGAATCGGAACTGTACGTATGTACTGAGTTCTTGAGTCGTGGAGCTTCGGTAGCCTGGTTGACTGGCTCCGTATTGTCAATAACTACCATGCCAGGCCAGATCAGCCTCGGTGGACGTGACCTTTATTTTGGACAGCAGGCGAAAATCAATGCGCGCGCGGATGTCATCCATTGAATTAAGTCGGTGTGGCCTGTAGAGGAGACGCAGACAATTAATATAGACGCCCTTCTTCGCAGTGCGTCATTGTATAAGTTTCTACAGCAACCAGCAAGCCGCGTTTCTCTACCAGGCCTGGGGCGGATATACCTCTTGCTATGTAGATAAATCTTAAGCTATTGCTGTTTCTTTCTTACATGGAATCTCATTGTGAAATGTGTAAATACACAATCAAAGTTGTGAAACTAATGATAAAATACACGGTTGCAAATTCACTGTTATGTCATCTAGAATATGATATAAGCTATTGGCTTACATGAATACCTGCAAATGTACATTTTCTAAAATATTTTCTATCGATTCACCTGTCTACCGGTTATATATATGTTGAAACGTACATAATTTGTATTGTCTACTCGTACATCTAACTAGACTGCTAGAAATTCTATCAGGTGGTAACAACTAATAATTCTTGTATAATTTGTACATGAGACTGGCACAAGGCATTATATGATACATATACAACTGATCTTACTACCCAGCAGTGTTTTCTTAAGTTTTTCATTTCTCTAACATTGAAAATATCTTCTGTACCTGCATCGGTATAGCCGACATGATAACCGCCCTTCAGCGTAATACACCAACTTCGCAGGCACGCGGCGCGGCGGCAGCTAGCTATATCACACCGAACGACATGTTATACTCAATCTTAGCATATTTACCTTGTTGGTATTTAATTCTTATTCTACCACCATATGTTCTCAGTCTATTGATAGTCCTCCCCAGTCGAATATCAAATCAACTATTCATGAAATATAATTCCACCTAAAGTAACTGGATTTTCTTAATTTTTCTGAAGGCAACATACAGTTAGCACAGAATTATACATGTATGCATGAAGCATTTAACCCTATCTAGACCGGGCTTTTTTGGGCTTGGTGGGACCGGGGGGGGGCTCTTTCG